CCAATGGAATAAACTGGAAGACTCAGAAATACACCCATTTACTTAGAGTCATCTGACATTTGACAAGGGAGCCAAACACATATTTTGGAATAAGGACAGCCTCTTCAAAAAATAGTGTTGGTCAAACTGGACATTCACATGTAGAAGACTGAAATTGGATCCCTGTCTTTCACCTTGCACTAATATCAACTCAAAATGGATGAAAGACCAAAATGCCAGACTTGTAACCTTAAACTACTACAGGAAAGAGTAGGAGAAATATTAGAACTTATTGGCCTAGGCATTGTAGACATTTGATAAATGGGATTGCATTAAACTAAGAAGTTTCTGTACAGCAAAGGAGTTAGTTGCTAAGCTAAACAGCCTACAGATCATTACCAGCTAACCCTCCCCCAAATCAATAACTCAATTAATAAATAGGCAAAGAAACCAAAGAGAGACTTCTGTAAAGTAAGAATGGACAATAAATAAACAAAGGAAATGCTCAACATCCCTGACCATAAAGGAAATGAAAATCAAAACAATGTTGCAATCCCATCTCACCTCAGTAAGACTGACCATCATTAAGAACACAATAACAAATGCTGCCAGGCACTGGTTCCTCATGCCTGTAATCCTAGCAACTCAGGAGGCTGAGATCTGAGGACTCCTGTTCAATGCCAGCCCAGGCAGCAAAGTCTGTGAGACTTTAATCTCCAATAAACCACCAGAAAACCAAAAGTGGCGCTGTGGCTCAAGTGGTAGAGTGCTAGCCTTGAGCTGAAGAGCTGAGGGACAACGCTCAGGTCCAGAGTTCAAGCCCCATAACCACCACCACCAACAACAAAAATAACAAATGCTGATGGGGATTTCTGGGGAAGGGAGCCCTGTTGCACTAATAGCGGAAATGTAAACTAGTACAACCACTCTGAATGGTGGTTTGGAGTTTCATCAAAAAACTAAACATAGAACTAACTACTTTATGATCCAGCAATACTACCCTTGGATATTTATCCAGAAGACCGCAAGTTAGGATACAGTAAAGACACTTGCAGATCCATGCTCATTGCTGCACTATTCATGATAGTCAAATTATGTAACGAGCCCAGATGCCCTACAACAGATGAATGGATCAAGTAAATGTGGTATATATGTACAATGGAATTTTACTCATCTATCAGGAAGAATAAATATTATTTTATCTTCAGGAAAATGAATGGACCTTGGGAAAAATGCTAAGTAAAGCAAATCAGGCTCAAAGAGACAAACAGTACATGTTTTCTCTCATATATGGAAGTTTGATCTAAAATTAAAACATACATGATACCATAAACAGGGTTTTATGCATATACACACAAACAGATGAAAGAATGGTATACTTAGGGGAGGAGCCCAATGGTGAATACTTCTGAACAGCTAACGACCTGTGTATCAAAATGAATATCAGGACGCAGAAACAAGTTTTGGGGAGAAGGGCAAAGGAGTTGCACATGAGTGGATGGAGAAAGGGTGAGCAAATGCAATTCTTATATTCAATGTACATATTGTAAAAACTGAACTGCATAACTTGAGAGTAGGGATGGGAGATGGTAAATGAGGAAGAACGATGGAATGTGTTACATTGATTAAGAGGCATTGTACTCATACTTGGCTTCTAGAATTGAAATCTTTTTGTACAACCACTTAATTAGAAACATTATAAAAGAAGTGATTCATATAAGCATTAAATGTACAGTTTGTATGTGCCTAGTTGGATTTATTTTCTATCTGATATAGGATACTGTTATGAACTTGATCTCTCTTCTGTGTAGAAACTTGGAATTTTGTGAGATTATTTTCCCTGTGTTAAAAAATTCTCTTCCAAGTGAATTAGCTTAGTTTTGTGTTCATTAATAATGACTCATGCTCAGGGGAGCAAATAATAAAACTGAAAAAAATATTTTAAAAAATTCCATGGGCTGGGAAGGTGGCTCAGTGGTAGAGCGCTTGCCTTGCATGCATGAGGCCCTGGGTTCGATTCCTCAGCACCACATAAGCAAAAAGAAAAAAAAGCCGGAAGTGGTGCTGTGGCTCAAGTGGTATTGGGCTAGCCTTGAGCTAAAGAGCTGAGGGACAGCGCCCAGGCCCAGAGTTCAGGCCCCACGACTGGACCCAAAAAAAAATAAAAAATAAAAAATAAAAATAAAAAATTCCATGGTGAAAACCATCGGCATAATTAATACACACATACAAAGAATGACAAGGTGAAACCGACTCTGAGGGGAGTACTAGCGGTCGAGTTTGGGTTATTAAGGGGAAGTGAATGAGAATGAATATGATGAAATAGTTTGCATATGTGAAAAGAGAACAGTGAAAGGTGTTGAAATTGCTTAAGAAGGAGGCAGAGGAAAAGGGAGAGTAATAGGGAGAGTGGGTTTGATCAGGATATGTGTATACGTGTGTGGAAATGTCATAATGAAACCTGTGCCTTGTATGTTAATAAACAAGAAAACAGAAAACATATCCATTTTAACTACTTGCTTCCCTTCTTAGAAATTCACCTGTACTCATTACATGAAGGCAGAAAGAACAGCAGAGGCTCAGAATAGATTGAAGGAGCAGGGTCCTTGGGATAAAATGAGAATGACAAAAAATAAAGTAAAATATCCAGGGATGTATTAGTGGCTAGTAGTCCTAGGAGAAGATGAAGCCACAGAAGAATAAAGACATACCATAGGGTGAAGGGACTACATTTAACCTCCAAAATTAGCAAAGACCAAAATGAGTGACAGTACCTCACGTTGTGGGGGAGGGTAAGGACAGGGGAAGGGGTTTAAGGTAGTGAAGCAAAGAAGTAGGCTGGCTCCTGACGCACTTTCTGCCTGTGGGAGGGGAGCGAGAGACCCGAGTCCACTGGTGACGTTTTCCTCACGTGATCAGGAGCCGATGTGTGCAGATGTCCCTCTCTTCCAGGTACCAGCTTCTTAATGCTGTGGAAGATAGCAGACTTGAGACTGACAGACAGAGGGGCAACTGCAGGTCGGTAAGAACCGGGGATCTGTGAGGTAGGAATGGTAAAGGACAGAGGCAACCAAGGATCGTGTCTGTTTTCAAGATCCCATTGCCTTTCCTCTCCTGATTCGTTTTGGTGCAGAAAATTTTGTGTGAGCATTGGGGGAGAGATCTTATTTCCCTGGGGAAATGTGGGCTTTTTGGCAGAAGGAAATGTGAAAAGGATAGCTGCAGATCCATGACTGCCTGCACATTCCTGGGGGAGGAATGACAGAAAGCAAAGACCGAAGCAGATTCAAGACTAGATTCTCTCTATTTCTTTCCAGATGCTCACCCCCGTTGGTGCAAGAAATAGAGGGCTTGTTTGTGGTGGGAAGATTGAGAGGGGTCAGGGATAGAGGATAAGTACCGCTAGGGATCTCCTAGAAAGCTGGTGATTGAGCTACTTGTCATCTGTTGGAGGAGGAGAGCTTGAGAGGGGGCTGAGAAAGAGCTAATCCCTTCCCTGCAGAGCTGTGGAAAGGAGGTGCAGGGCTGGAGCGGGGTGTGTGGGAGGGTGACCCCTGGACGTGGAAGACAGATTCTGCAGGTGGTCTCTGCCTGAAATTTCTAAATGTGTTCTCCACTCTCCATCCATTTTGGTGTAAAAAATGGGATAAAAGAGTTAAGGATGAGGATATTGCAAAGAGGGGAACAGGTTTAGCCTAGGGACCAGCATCCTACTAGGTAAGAATGGCTTACAAACTAGGGAGGGCTGTAAGGAGGTATCATGAACCAAAAATATTACTGAGTTAGGAAATACTTTGCTTCTTTCATTGCAGGAAAATGTGGTCTTTCTGTATATGTGAGGGGGGAGAGGTGTCAGAAGCGCTTTGGCAATTTCTGCCTCTATCATCTTCATTTTCAGAGACAAGCTGGACTTTTTTTCTACTTGGGTACCCTGGAGTGTGGGAGGTGGGGAGGAGGTTAGATTGCAGAGAACTAAGTTCAGCAGGATCTGCCTTCTGAACATCACAGACCTGAAGTCCATTCATTTCAGTGCTCTAAAATGAGATAGAAAAGTGAGAGATAATTTGGGAGGAGTATTCAGAAATATAGGTACACTTTGGAAATATTTCTTTTCCATTCATCAGTGACAGGAAAAAATGAGTTTCTTAGAATCGTCAAGGGGAATTAGAGAGATCAAGGCAAAGGGTAAGGGGGGTGGTAAGAACTGGGAAATTTTGACAAAGAGTCTGAAGAGAATGTGTCCCTCTGGCCCATCATTTGCTTTCTGAATTCTTTTACCATCTGTCTCTCTTCTCTCTCCAGGTGTTCAGATCGGTGGTTGTGATCATCAACCCAGACAGGAAAAAGAAAGGCCTGCAGTGTCAGTGCAGGTCAGTGGGAGAAGGGATCTGATCACAATCCCTGAGCCAGAGCAGAGCTTGGGGAGGTGACAGCATGCCATCACTTCCCCAGTCCTCCTTGTTGCATTTCAGATGTGACCATCATCAGTGTCTATGGTACTTTATGGCTGGTGAGAATGGAGGGGGGGGGGGGAAGGAAAGTGAGAAAAAGTAGGTGTGGCCTCTGTTATGCCCTTTGAGGAGATCATAGTAGCTCTTAAGACTGATAACTGGCCATAGTTCTCTTCCTGTTGAGCCTTAGAACTGTAGAAAAGGGAAACAAATAAAATATCCCAGAATTCCTTTAGTTGTGTGTAACTCAGGACTACCCCTTTAAAATTGCTATCTGCATAGCCAAAGCCAGAGCCAAGTTGAGAAACCTATCTGCTCCTATAAATTTCTGAACACGCTCTTTCCACTGTGGAAGCTTCCACAAAGTTGGTTCAAAAACAACTATGTTGTGAAGTGGGAAGGAAAAGAAGGAATGTAAGAGGGGAGTGCAACTGGAAGGTGGGACAGGGCCAAGAGAGCCCATTGTTAAGAAAGGCAAGCACTACTCAGGCCCATATTTCACCCTCAGGCCCTCAGTGTTCTATGTCTCCTCTTTGTCTCCTAGAACAGGTAAAAAAGGACAATCTTAACATGGAAAAGTTCTACAAAGAAAAGGAAGGAAAACCAGAAAACGAAGGAACTGATGAAGATGAAGCGAGTACAGAAGATGAAGGAAATGCAGATGAAAAGTCTAATGCAAAGGGGAAGGCAGCATGCGAGGGCCAGCTGGAGGGTGAGGGAGGGCCAAAGGAGGAGGGCCACCCCCGGGATGAGGACAAGTCAGGGAAGCAGGGAAAGTCGTCAGAAGATGAGGGCCAGCCACCAGGTGAGGGCAAGGCAGAGCCCCAGGGCAAGGCAGGCAGCGAGACGCGTGCCACAGAAAAGCGTCCGGCTGAAGATTACGTGCCCCGGAAAGCAAAAAGAAAAACCGACCGCGGGACCACGGATGACTCTCCCAAGAACTCTCGGGAGGACTTACAGGACAGGCATCTGAGCAGTGAGGAGATGATGAGAGAGTGTGCTGATATGTCCAGGGCTCAGGAAGAGCTAAGGAAAAAACAGAAAATGGGAGGATGTCACTGGATGCAAAGAGATGTGCAGGATGCTTTCTCCCCAAGGGGCCAACGGGGTGTCAAGGGAGTAAGGGGCGGAGGGAGGGGCCAGAAGGACTTAGAAGACGTCCCATTTGTTTGATGACCTTGGCCTTTAATTCTGATTTCTCTGATGGGAATATTCCCAGCCCTGCTTTCCCTGGCAGGCATTTGCCAGGCTATGTGCTTTCACCTATCCTGATAACTCTCCTTTAGGTGTCACTGTCCTCCAGCAAACTTTTCACCCATGTGCATGAAAATATGTTCATGGTATACTGTAAAATAACAATAAAGAATACAGTTTGCAGAACCACAGATTCAGTATCAGCCCATTTTTTGGGGGAAAAGTTACATAACATATCCATACACAGGAAAACTCTGCAACTGAGCAGATCAAAGAGAAATAATGGTTTTCCTGGTGTGGTGGGACTAGGGGTGATTATTCTTTTTTCACACACTAAAGAGTAGGCTGGGAGTATGGTGTCATGGTACAGTGACCTTGAGTAGAGTGCACTACAAAAAATTACTCTTGTCATAAAGGAAGGAATAAAAGATAAAATAATTTGGAGAACAATATTTAGCAGGCAATTAAAATTCCTTTAGCTTGTGAAGACACATAAAATTCTTATCAGAACACGAAGTGATAAGTAAAACATATTACTAGGACTTAAAATTGAAGGAATTAACCTGACAATCCTTATAGATTCATTGCTGTATGGAACAACCTTGTCATCTGTAAAAATGAGACTAAAACTTACCTCACAACTCTTGTGTTGGCTCCTATATTCTCCCCTTCACTGGCAGTTTGTGATCAGCCATGCAGGGGAGAACAGATAGAGGAAGCCCCACCTGTGCCCAGAAGCTGAGAGGTGAGTGGCAACATCCTCAGGCTAATATCATACCTGCTGGGCACTGTCTTGGGTCTTATACCCTTTGGTTGATAGGCTATAGTCCTCAAGTTAATGCCTTTGATTTTCCAGGAGTTCCTGATAAGTTAAATATCCATTATGTTGCTTTCTTGTATGTTTATTTATTTTATTATTTTAAGTAGATGTACAAATGGGCTTAAACTCATGAACCAGTTTATGTGGCCTTCTAAATTCTGGAGAATGTCTCTTCTCAATTTAGAGTTGTGTTCATCCTGACATAAAATGTGTAAAAAATTATTTGTAAAGTCTTAACTGATATGTGTCAGACATTTTAATTACCCCAGTAGATTTGCCCTTTCCAAAGTAAAGAATTTATGTTAATCATTTTGCTACCCCATAGTACATAATAGAAGTTAAAAAATTGAATACATTAACCATTGAGAAAAAGGCATAATTCTTGGCCCAGTTCTACCTGATTGAATACATAGCCTGGAGCATGTAATTTCATTCTATAGCAAGTGAAACTAACCAGTTCAAAAGGAACACATCAGGAGAGGGAACATACTAGAATCCATTACTAAATGATTTTGACATTGTATATAGTAGTGTATTTCAAGGTTTGCTTGGTACTAGCAGACTACCTATATCAAAGTACTAGCTATCTTGTTGAAAATGCAAAGTCCTGGCTTCCACATCAGAGTCAATGCATCAGAATCTCTTGATTTGTCAAACATGTGTCTTCTGCTTTTAGTTCATTTCTATTTGCAGCAAATGACATTATGCATGAAATTTTAAAATCTCGTAGTGTAAAAAAGTTTATTGTTAAAACTTGCAATCCACCTTGCTATTTAAGTCTCACTACCCAGAGGCTACTGCCATAAGCATGTTTAGTTTATTCTGGTTCTTGTCTTTATATTTCTGAATGTGTTTATGTTGCTATTTTAACAGCAGTATTGAAGCATATAACTCATGTCATAAAATTGATCCCTTTAAAGTACACAGTTCAGTAGTTTTTAGTATATTGCCAGAGTTCTCAAATAATATTATCTAGTTTCCAAATTAACATTTCCATCACCCTAAAAAGAAATCCTCTTCTCAGTAATAAGCACATATGACCATTTCATCTTGTCTCTAGCACCTGGCAAGCACTGATTCTCCCTCTCCGCCTTACTCCCCCCTACCTCTGTACTAGGGTTTGAACTCTGGACTTTATACTTGCTAGACAGGGGTGCTCTATTGTTGAACCACACCTCCAGCACAAATCTCTTTTTGATCTCTATGGGTTTTCCCATTTGGATATTTTATGTAAACAGAATCATGCAATATGTGACCTCTTGTGGCCACATTATGGCTTCTTTTACTTGCCATCATGTCTTCAAGGTTCATCCATGTTATAAAATATATACTAAATACTTATGTACATTTTTGTGTGTGTTTTCAGTTTTCTTGGGTTTATACTTAGGAGTGGAATACTGAGTTGAGTGATAACTGTTTAAAATTTGAGAAATTGGCAAATTGTTTTCTAAAGTAACTGTGATGTTTGACAATCTCATCTGCAGTATATGACAATTTCAAATTTTCCTTATCTTTATCAACAATTAACTATTGACTGTAGTCTTACAGTAGTATTAGTGGATATAAAGTAGTATTTCATGGTTTTGGTTTGCATTTTTCTAATCGCTAATGATGTTGGGCATATTTTCTACAATCAGTTCATTTTTTTGTTGTTGTTGGTCATGGGGCTTGAACTCAGGGCATGGGCACTGTCCCTGAGCTCTTTTCCTCAAGGCTAGTGCTCTACATAGCACTTTGAGCCACAGGGTCAGTTCTGGTTTTGAGTGGTTTATTGGAGATTAGAATCCTACAGAGTTTCCTTTGAATACTGATCCTCAGATCTCAGCCTCCTGAGTAGCTAGGATTACAGGTGTGAGTCACCAGTACCCGGCTTCTATAATCAATTCTTTTTGTTTGTATTACATGGGTTTGAACTTGAGGCCCTATGCTTATGATGCAGGTGCTTTACCTTTGAGCCACTCCTTCAGCCTCAAATTTATTCTTTTGCCCAATTTAAATTGAATTAATTTTTTTAAATTGTTGAGCTGTAAGAGTTAATTTTTGAGTTTGAGTTATTTCTTTGCTAATTTTAGTTCCTATCTACTGATATTCTAAAATAACTGTGGAATAATTCTATGAAACTCTATGGGGGATGGGGCAGGCATGTTTGCTAGGCTCAGCATTGCATATGGAAGAAAAGGATAAATACATGTGAATTTAATGCTACCAAATTGAACCACCAGCACCTGGCTTCCATGTCAATTCTTTTTGTTTGTATTACATGGGTTCATTCATAGAAAAATCATGCTGCTGTCCCTATTATCAGATCCTTCGATCAGAATATTTTCTGGAAGAGATGCAGATTTTTCCAACACAGACCTTCAAATCTCTTTACAAATGAATTGACATTATTTGTCTTACAGAGTTAAAGGCTGAGGTGCTATAAGAATGGAGGTTAGGACTGGAAGCATGACTCAAGTGGGAAAATAGCTGTTTAGCAAGTATGAAGTCCTGAATTCAGCCACACTTCTCACAAAACAAAGAATGAGTTAAGAAGGCATTAGTAGCTTTATTAGAGATCTATGCTAAATGTTAGGCCCACTACTTTACCAGAGAGAACCAAAAAGAAAAGGCTGAGACTTCCTGAGGCCAAAATAAATCTCGAATTCTGACCTTAAAAATGATCTCTGAAAAGGAGCCCAATTTTCATTACATGAATCTGAAAATCTACAGGACATTCTTATGTCCAAGTTCACAGTTACAAACAATAATCAACCAGAAATTAGTGGCACTTATCAGCCAGCTGTTTTCAGAGCTCAATAACAAATATAGGGTTGCAAAAACACTAACTGTGGGCATGCCCAAGACTGTGTCCTATAAAAAGCAACATAAGATGTTTCCTATAGAAGAAGAGTGTGCATAATAAATATTACTAAATAACAATAAGTCCCAGAGAGGGGAAAACAATGCTGAGTGCTGAAGTACATTATCTAAAAATTTCTCTTTCAAATAAATACAGAGAAACAGGAGAGAGATAGTCAATGTATTAAGAAACAAGCAGACAACAGAAACTGCCAGCAAAAGTGACTAGGTATTGAACTTAACACAGCCTTCAAAGTATCCAATATAAAAATACAAAATATTCACATAAGTATTCATATTTCCTTCTGTGTTCAAGCCCTACTATCATCAAAAAAGATAAAAAGTTCAAAGATAAGGTCTGGGAAGATGGCTCAGTGGTAGAGCACTTGCCTTGCATGCTTGAGGCCCTGGGTTCGATTCCTCAGCACCACATAAACAGGAAAAAAAAGCCAGAAGTGGCGCTGTGGCTCAAGTGGTAGAGTGCTAGCCTTGAGCTGAAGAGCTGAGGGACAGCGCCCAGGCCCAGAGTTCAGGTCCCACAACCGGACCCGCCCCACCCCCAAAAAAAGTTCAAAGATAAAAAATACTGTGATTGAAGAAGTCAGCTATGGTGACAAAAGGGACACACAAGGGACATTTTAGGCTGACAGAATGTTTCAGTATGGCACCGTGGTAAGCAGATAAATGACCATATGAATGTTTTACATTCCATATAACTACACAATAAGGATAACTTTTGACCTATGTCAACTAAAATACATACGAATGAGGTTGTAGGATAAGCCCAAAGTGGAAAACATATTGTGCTAAATTAATCTATTATGGGTATATGACATAACCTCACTGATCAGGGTGGGGAAAAGCAAAGGGGATCTATGTTATATTGTGACACAGGTTTTTAAAAAAATTATTGTAAAGGTAATGTACAGAGGCGTGGCAGTTATATGTCAGGTATTGAGTGTATTCGCTTTTGAACGGTGTCACTCCCTCCCTCATTTTCTCCCAGTTTTTCCCCTGACCTCCCCCCAAGTTGTATAATTCATTTCCAACATAGTGTCTAGTGAGTATCACTGCTGAATTAGCTCACCATTTGTTCCACTGTTTTTGAGGTTCCCTTCCCCAAATCAGATGAACTTGCATACAAGACAAAGGGTACATAAATCAAAAACAGTGACTAAAAGAGAAAAGCATGGAAAAAACAAAAAAGTAAAATAAAAACCTGTTTCCATTTCTTGGAGGAAACACACTGTTATAACTAATTACTATAAGGATAAAGACAGAACTACATATAAATGCTACATCCTAAATATGGGAAATA